AGCTCTGTGTCTGGGGAGGTATTATTTTTTTTTTTAATTTTAAAAAACCAAGCACTTAAACCTTGGAGTGCTGGGGTAACACCTCTGCAAAGGTCCGCCTTTTGTCCTTATGTCCTTTTTAGAAGGAAAAGAGAAACGGCCTCAGACTCTAAATTGTTGCTGCTTTTGAAGCTATAACTTCCTGTCTCTCAAACATTGCAATCTGTACAGAAATGTGTATCTTGATGGCTAGACGCGAGTCCTGGAGATGAGCCTCTGCCACGGAGCACAATCGGGCATGATCCCCTTGAATCATCCTCTCAGGGTGAGAGCGCACACACCTTAGTGGAGTGCACAAATAGAAGAATGAAATTCTCTTGGTAAAACTATGCTGAGTTCCATAATCTGCAACTACCATCAAAGAACAAGCTACTGTGGGTGTGAAATCTCATCAGCAACATCCTTTTAATAAGATGGTATTGATGGATTCTAATCTCGCTGCACCAAAAATACGACTGATATGACGGCTATAGCAATTCAAACGCTTTTTAGTTTTCAGTGCTATATTTGCAGTATTTTGGGGTAAGCAAATGCTGCTGTGGTGAACTACAAATCCCATGATGCCTCTACTGGAAGTAATGATTGGCTGTCTTGGAATGCATAATGGGCTCTGTACTTTATCCACAGCTCGAGGGCAGAATTTTGCCTACCCCTGGTATTATATCTTCAGGTCATGGGGCTTCTATGATGCATAATGTGGGTACAGCTGGTCATGAATACATTTATAACACAATGTGCTAACACCATTTTGGCACTAGTAAAAAAAATAATAAGCTGCCCAAAAAAGATTTTTGCATTTTTATTTTAACCTTTTTATTACATTTTTGAAAAGTAACAGAAAATACCAAGAAATAAGTACTGCAATATGATCGAGTATGTACAGAGGTTCATGAAACATGTTACACAATAGTAAGTCTTCTATAAATCAGCTTTTTTTTGTGTGTATGTCAAGCCTAGACTTTTTTTTTGTAGAATGGGAAAGGGTTAGAACCCCTGCTGTACAGGGCAATGTTGGATTTCCCCTCCCTTCCTGTCCAGGCCTTTTACCAGACAGGATGTGAAGGAAAATTTTCAGCAAATGCATGTTTTTAGTAGCACAGGGAAGGCTAGAACTGTTAGGTTTTTACTTGTGCATTAGTTTAACCCCTTCATGACAGACCTTTTTTTCATTTTTTGCACCCATGTTCTATTCCACATTTTAGGCCTGAAAATTACTTAAAACCCCCCAACATTATATATTTTCTGAATGCCAAGACCCTATAGAATAAAATGGTGGTAGTTGCAAATTTTTATGTTGCGCAATATTAGCGCAACTCCTTATTAAACCCCAATATTTAGTGAAAAATTTAATTAAATGCCCCAAAACAAAACACCCATTTTTTTAATGAAATATAAAAGATGAGGTTACAGCGAGTAAAAGGATACCCAACATGCCCAGGTTACAAATTGCGTTCATCCGTAAAACGGCGAAAAACCCCAGTACCCCAAAAAGTCCATAGAAGACTCTTTAAAAGCCCCCACAGGTCATCAATTTAGAGATACCCCAAAATACTGGCCCTAGAATTATTGCTCTCACTCCGGCGTGCGCGGCGATACCCAACATGTGTAGCGCGTTCGTCGTTTTCATACGTAGGCGCACCCGACGCGTGTTTATGTGGCGACGCGTGTGCTCTCGGGGGACTTTTACAAAAAATTTTTATTAGATTTATTTTATTTTAATTTAAACTTTTTTTTTTTTTTTTAACTTTGACTGCTATCTAACACACACACACACACACACACACACACACACACACACACACACACACACACTGCCATGTGTGCTGCAATAAAATACAAACATGCTGCATTTACTGCAGCACACTGGATGTTACTGTGCTGTATTGCAGCACACCATGCTGCTGTGCAAGGACCTGAATGCAGTGTAAACATATGTTTGTAAATCTCAACTCTTGGTACAAAAGCCTAAAAACAAACAGTGAAATGAGAAAGCTCTGTTAAACTGTTGGGTGTCGCAGTTGATTGAGGCTTCACTTATTTTATTCCAGCATTTCTACTCTTCACGTTAGAGAAGGAATGTCATATTGTCAACAACAATACAATGCATTTTGTGGCAAACTGACAAATGTGTCTACTGCCAATAAAACAAAACGGGTTGCTTAGTTACATATAAAATGTTTCTGGCATTCCTATGAGCGTATGGAATAGTTTCTCCTAATTGAATAGAGTTGATCATTTCGGAACAGATTAAGCATCAAAATCTTCCCCTGGTCCTATTCACCTTTCAGTTATAATATGTTCCTGTGCTGGTCATTTGTCTGTACATAAAATACTTGGTCCCATTTGGTGATACCAACCTGGTCTACTGAGCATGCACAATGGTATCACTACAGCAGCAGGGCTCTGCATTACCTGTTAAGCTGATACCAGCCTGGGTGCTTTTAAAAAAAAAATGTTATTAGGCAGATATATTAATAGGAGGGCCAAAACGTGCGTGGTCCTGCCGCATGAGAAAAAAGGTGGGAATATTTTTGGTTGGCTTCACACCTGATAATTGCCAGTAATACAGCCAATAAAGTCGCTGATGTTGGCCTAATACAGAGACGTGATGTGATGCATTGCTCTCCTCCATCATGACATGACTG